GGGCAGGGTGGTGGGGGAGGTGGTGGAGCGACAATGAGTTGGGTGCGGGAGGGTGTGTAGTCTGGGTGTTGGGGAGCATTGGAGCTCGGCGGGGATGGAATGTGATCAGGGATGGGAGGGGATGGAGTGTGAACAGGATGGCGAGGGAGCAGTACGAGGAGGTTGCAAGGAAATGTAGAGTATAGTGCGGGGTATCAGAAGATTCTGCGCTGAATTCTGAAAAACAACGGTGAGTCATACTGGGACAATTCAAGGTAGGGGAGAAGAACTTGTGATATAACATTACACACAACTTCTCTAAATTATTGGCAGAGGTTAGGAAGTATTATACGAGTATGTTTTAACTTCCATTCTAGAAACGTCGGTCAATGCTCGAATTAGCAAAGGTTATGATTCAAAATAACGCAAAAACGTTTAAAAAAGAAGCTTTACGAATTTTAACAGTAAATAAAATTAAAAGCATTTTAGAACAAGTTGAAGTAACGGCAATTACTACCTTAACACATCAAATAGCGATCAGAACCATCTATCAGAAGAAAATGACTTACTTCTTATAACCTATATGAATTATATGTTCTACTGGTTTAATAATTGTTTTACAGTCTGCAATAAAGAATGCTAATTACTCTGCCGTCAATATAACATTAATAATGTATTTAAAAAAGTTGATTATTAGAATCTAAATGGAAAAAGTAAAAAATTGTATTCGCCCAAGGAACTAGATTTTGGCAGCCTTGCGCATGTTACTTTTATCGACAGGACCCAGGCTGCGTTGCCGCCAGTTTCTTCGGCACATCGATTCTGCTCGGTGAGATGTTTGCAGCGCCATTCATATGCATACCATTAAAGTGTCAATGTAACGTCTTTCTCACGCCACACGGTGTCATATCCAGCTGTTAGCGACATGTGACAGCGTCATGCCAAGACGTAAGGCTCGGAACATCTGCGCTTTCGTTGGTGTAAGAAGTCCCTACAGTAATTCGTTTTTGAATAAACGTTAGACCATTAAACTACAGGTTTGCAGACAGTCACAAAAATATTATCATATGATATGATGATTCAGATTAATGCGAGATTTGTAAAACTTCCAATATTTTCTGAAATTTTCTCAGTGCATCTCTGCTCAGTACTTCTCTTCCCTGAGCAGAATTCTCTCACTTCAATATATTTAAAAATTGAACACACGACCCTAATAATTGTTAAAATGTATTTGTAATTTCTCTAATATTTCGTATTTTATTGTATATACACATTATTGTTCTAATAATTGTGAATAGAGCTATTTCTCTCCTAATTAATCCTTTTCGTCTCGTATTCACAATGCGACTTTAATGAAAACATGTGTTCGGGTCTTAGAAAAATATATATCTTCTACATATAAAGGCTAAGGAGAGTTGACTAACTTTTACTATAAAAAATGTACCATCGACCAAAATAACTGTAAAATTGCCACTGCACAATATTCAAAAAACCCTTCGGGATACACCAAAGACGACGTAAAAAAGTAGAATTTTGACTGAGAGAGGTGGCTTAGTGCATCAACTCCTATCACTGCAGTGCCTCTGACCTGGAGGTCCTAAGTTGGAGTCCCTGCGGTGGCAGGATTTTCGACACTAGCTTGTCAGCTAGGTCCAATTCAATCGCTGACTGGAAGTGAATTCTAGCTGCTGGCTGCTCTGGTCGATAGTTTTCCGCGGTGCCTCCCATCGACACCCGTCGAATGCTGGATGGCAAAAGGGCCACGGATCGCGCGCGATATTTCCTTCTTTTTCCCTGTCGTATTCACACTTACATTAACATGCACTTCTCTACCACACATGCCGGGAGACCGGTCGAGAGCTTAGAGCTTGGTCCGGGTGCGCTGTGCCCCGCTGGTGGGAGATACATGTTTGACGGGAAGCCCCGCTAGTCGTCGGTAGATCAGCGATCAGCGCCATTTAGAGCGATAAAAACGCCGCCACATCACGAGAAAATACATACACTACACTTACGGAACTAATGACTAATGAATTTTATGCGCCCTGAGTCACTAATAGCCAACCAATTAGCCAGTAGAAGTTTGTAAAGTATGCTTTGAAGAATTCAGAAGATGTGTACGTATTCAGCAACACACGTTACCTTGCAATAGACGTTACAAGATCATGCGTAAAAAGATAGGTTGGATAGAGTTTGTTCCCTGACGACTTCGAGTTTCTTAGATTTACAAATTGAGATTTTTTTGGACATTCATTTACATTTTTAGTGGTTTAGTTTTCTAGGCTCATGTACTTCATAGGGTGGATGCGCCATGCTGAATTTGGAAAGATAGGTAAAACATAATTGACAGTTAGTTATTTTTGAATATCGCATTTAATCACACGGGACTAAATCTTTAAATTATAAAATATATAAATGTTTACCCATGAACGCGTTTATTCTGAAAAGCACAATTCAGGGCTCGGCGTTTTGAAGATAACGTGAAGTCGT